CTCTCGTCGCCTGTCTTCCTCCTCCCCCTCACAAAGTCTGGCTTTAAAGCCAAGGTACTCACAAACAAACCCAGGCTGTTCCCAAGGGCTGGGAATTTGTTTCCATTTCCAAAGTGTGGACAAGTAACAGATTGCTGCTACTGTCACAGGAGGGAAGAAATCCCCCTGGGACAGACTTCCAGTGCCTTTGAACAGTTTCCCTGGTATAAAGCAGGTCAGTGTTATTCTCATGGGGTCCCAAGTCCTCTTTGCCCATAAAACCAGCTCATGCCTCCCCTTTTCCTACCTTCCCATGTACCAAGAGACCACAGCCTTTAGTGGGGAAAGATATCCAGTGAAAGGCCTGATCGAAAGCCCAAAGAAATGAACAGAAAGAGTCCAGCTGACCTCGAGGGAGTCTGGACTGAGGCCACAGCAAAGCCCAGCCTAACTTTAGGAAATACTAGATCCAAAACAAAGTCTCTCCATCCCAAACGCTGCCCATATGACCCTGGCAAGCTCTAGGATGCTGAAGGCTGCCTGCCAACACGCAATGAACTGAGCAGGTGGCAGATGCTCCTGGCCTGAGGTCAGCACAGAACTTCACCAGGTATCTCCATGTGCTGCTGACCACGCTATCGGTCACCATACAGCCCCTCTGGCCACTGCTCTGCTGGCAGCTCGGCCAGAGAAGTGACTTGGTGTGACATCCCAGGCACACACAGCTCTGCCAACCTGTTTTCTCTGGGGCACTTTCCAGTTGGGTATCTAAAGGTGGGTTGATGAGCAGCAGGTACACGAGACACCTATTAGAGATCACACGTTGCTGTTTGGTCAGGGAGCTGCCTTTTACCTGCCATTGCCCAGTGCTTCCCCTGCCTGGGGGTGCTGGATAAACACCACCCAACACACCACAACAGAGTCTTAGCACTAGGCTCCACCTCCCCTTCCATCTTCTTTACCACAACCCAACTTAAAACCAAACCAAACAGAAACCAAAACACAAAGTGGGGACTCTGGATGGGACATAGAACACTTTAGACTTGAAAACAGGGGACTGCAAGAGAGGTGGGGGTGTCTCCCAGGGAGGACAGCAGGGGAGGGGAGGGGACACCGTCATTTACACCGATCAGGAGAAGCTGTAATCTATACACAGTGGTATAAGCCAAGATATATTACATGAAAGAACACACTGAGTGCATGGAGTTACCCACACCAGGTCAAACTGGCACAGTTGTCTTGAACAAGACCCTTGTAGTTGCAGTTGGTGTTTGTTGTTGACCTATCTAGCTCGCTCTCTATATATATAGCTATGTATAGAATTTCTCTGCATGCATTTGTCTCAAAAGGAGCTGTACAGCTGGGCTGGGTTTCTCATCCCCACCCTGTCTCCGACTTCATTTTTTCCGGGCTAGGAATGCCACTCCCACAATCACAGCCAGCGCTGCCACCGCCACTCCTCCCACGATGATCAAGGGCTTCATGTTGTCGAAGAAACTGCCTGGTGACTCCTCCGAGCTGTCTCCCTTGTGGTCAGAGTCAGGGGACTGGCCGGTGGCCTCTTGCGTCTCCGTGGCGGCGGGGCTGGGTTTCAGGTTGCTGTGGTTGTTCACGACGGCAGCGTCACCACCTGCCTTCTTGGTGGCAGTGGCAGCAGCAGGCTGCTCTTTGGGGATCTCCTTCTTGTCTGCATTCGTGGCAGGCCCAGGGTTGGGCTTTTCCGGCTTTCCGGCGGCCTTGGCATCAGGTTTGTTTCCGCTTCGGACATTGCCTTTGGAATCCATCGTGCGAGTGCTGTGGGCAGCGACTGGACGCCACACACACGGGGCTGTCCCAGATCTTCTCCTTTGCCTGGCTGCTGGAGGAAGCACAGGAGCCAACTGAGCTCAACCCCTCGGAGCAGTTGTCTTGGGATGACTCTCACACTGGCAGTGTCCTACCTGGACATGATACAGCACCTAGAAGAGGAAGCAGAGCAATGAGAAGTGAATGACAGGACACAGCAAGTGCTGTGCTGCCGGGAGGACAGGAGGGAAAACTGGAAAACTGTTGGCTCTTTCTTTTGGAACTGTGAGCTGCATTAAAAGCACTTATGACAGGCTCTGTATCTGCAAAAATCCTAGAGTGGTTTGGGGTGGAAGGACCTTAAAGATCATCCCATTCCACCCTCTGCCATGGGCAAGGACACCTTCCACTAGCCCAGGTTGCTCAGAGCTCCATCCAACCTGGCCTTGAGCACTTCCAGGGATGGGGCAGCCACAGCTCCTCTGGGCAACCTGTGCCAGTGTCTCAGCACCCACACAGGGAAGAATTTCTTCCCAGTATCAAACAAGAACAAACAATTTGGATTGTCATCTATGGCTGTCACAAGTGGGCACCATAGGAAACCAAGACAAGTCCATCCTGGCTGCGTATGTGATGCCATTCGTCAGCCTATGAAGCAAGCAGAATGTCAGATGTCCTGCTGGTGACCAGCAGGATCCATTTTCCCCAGGGAACTGATGGAAGCAGTGAACAGCATGGCTGTACCATGAGAGTTCAGCCAAGGGACAAAGTGGGCTTTGAAGGATTATAAAACCACCACAAAAAACATCACCCCACAAGCCTCACAAGGCAGGCTGAGCCCAGGGATGGAGCTCCCATGGCTACACCTCCATGTGATGGGAGGAGAGAACATGCCACTGGGCAGTTTGCCACCAGGTTCTGACAGTGCAGCACCACATCAGCTCCAAGCCTGGGAAATAATGAGTAACCAGAGGCAGTGGTCAGATCAGAGCCACCAGCTTCATTGCCTCCCTGCTGACCTTCAGGGCTGCCAAGAGCCTGCAGAGAGCTTTCTGCCTGCTAAGTGAAATTGGAGCTTATTAGCTGTCTGGATTTAGAACTGAAGAGGCTCCTTAAAAACCTCAACAAATAGAGATTCCTTCCAAAGCAGCTCAGAGTGCAGATCACTCCTCTAATGACAGGAAGAAGGTCCCAGGGTTGCAGCAATGGTCTGTGCAGCTGACTCTTCTGGAAAACAGGCTGACAAATGTGGTGGTTTCATCTCCATCTAGGCAGAAATATTGGCCTGGAAGAAACCTGCTCACAGAAGTGCCAGGTTTGGGTCTAGAGCAAAGCTGGGCAACACCTTAGGGCCTGGTTATAGGGCAGAAATGCCCCCTCTCCTGCTTTTCTCTGTAAACCATTGCTTGATGGACACCAGCTGCTCCAGTGCCAGTCCCAGAGGGAACTGCAGCACCAAAATAATGGAATTCCATAGCTCTCTTAGAATATTCTGAGTTGAAAAGGACCCACAAGGATTGTCAAGTCCAGCTCCTCATGAGGCCTGGTGACCATAACATCCATAGTCTTTTTGACTACAGCTAAACAATACTTATATTTCTAGTTTGGGATAGTAGGCTTTTCAAAATGGTTTAAACACTGCCACTCTCCCTTCATGCTTCACTGAAGATGTATCAGGCACTTGGGCATCTTGCACCACACAAAAACACCATCCCAAAATGCTCATCAAGCTTCAGACCTTCTGTGGCTTGGGACTTGAGCGGTAAACATGGTCCTGGCCAAGCGCAAGAATATTTTCCTCTCACTGCTCATTTTGTAGTGTTTCTGCAGATATCACCTGCCTCACCTATTCCTTGTGCTTCCAAAGAGCACTCATACTGCTCTGCTCAGTACAAATCTGCTCCTCTGTTTTGGGATGAATTTAGCCTCATTTTCCACCCAGTACAATGAGGACACAAAGAAATAGTAAGTACTGAAGCAAGATCAGAGGTTAAAGCAAGGAGAGGCAGATTGATCATGGCATAAATATTAAATTACCTGCTTAGTGGCTTGGACATCAATTAACTGGGCTACTCACACACTCCAATATTTGTGGATTACAGGACATGGATTGAGAATTAAACTTCTGTTCTTTCACCAGGAAAGCAGAGTGCAGCCTATGGAGAGGGTGGGGTAAACCACAGAGAGGCCAAACTTACCTTTTTGCTGAGAAATTGGGACCCTGCAGAACCCAAGTACATCATGGTTTATCCACACCCCTCAGTGATCCAATATCCAGATTCCTGGGAGCAGGAAAGCTGGTTTTCCTCAGAGCCCACACTGTGCCACGGAGCCTTGTCCTGCTGCCATGCCCTGCACTGCCACAGACAGAATTGCTTGGTTCTAACTGAATTTCCACTAAAAGCCACACAAACCTCTCACATAGCTTAGGAAAGATGTAGAAACCAAACTAAGCCAAAAATCAATATCAGCAGTTCTTAAGTGCCCACAGAAAAGGGTTTTTGTCTGTGGTTTTCCATCACTGGCACTTGCCACAGGATTGCCCAGCACCTCTCCAGACTCTCTGGCACATTTGAGCTGATGCTGTCAAACTGCACCAAGAAGGTCAGACACCCTTTCTGCTCCCATCATGCTTACCTGCAGTCCCTGTGCCATCCTCCTCCTCCAGAGCCAGGGTGCTCCTAGCAGCACAGCCTTTTCCATCACAGTGCTTAACCCTCCTCTGTGTGCCATTAGTTACCTCCCAGACTCCCTCCCTTGGGAATCATCTTCACTCTCCTTTCACTCTCCTTCCCCTCTCCACTTCTGTGCTTCTAAGGGCACAGCCATGTGCTCCTCCTTTAGCACCCCTGTCCCCTCTAAACTGAAAAGAAAGGCGCTTTCCTCATTTCCAAAAACTAACATGCACATGAGGGCTTCTCCCCCCAGCCCTTTGTTTCCTTCTCTTCCCTTATTCCATCAAAGTTTTTTCCTCCAATGACACATTTCTCTACCTTTGCTTTCTTCTTTACAGCTCCTCACATCTATTTATTCCTCTCCTCATCAGCTGCTGTCTCTGCCTGTCTACCCATTCCTCCCCCTTCCAGCTCCCTCTCTGCCTCCTACAGAGGCAGCAGCACTTGGGAATAAGGTTTTGTGGGAGACAGACTTCACTCCCTCCCTTTTTCCCCCTCCATGTTTAACAATCAGTGCCCTTCCTGGGAGGTTTTCATTCCCAGCAGCTAACCAGGCTGGGAAGAAGGAGCAGAGATAATGAAATCAGGGATGAAGCAGAAAAAGGAAAAGCCTTCCAAATTCCT